AAGATAGGTGAGAGTGAAACTAGAAATCCTGCAGGCTTTTGATAATATTTACTGATGCCAGAAGTTATGTTAATTTTACATTATCTCACTTCTAGCTTTTGTGCACTTCAGTATTATCACTGAGCACTGTTGCCAGAGGCAACAGGCAGCCAATAATACGATCTTGCCTATCTACCTATCTTCTCTCTCTGCCATAGTTCTCCTCCTATATGGTTTTAATTTGGGGTTTTTAAGCATTTTGGAAATCTAGCTAATTGAAGGGAGAGCTATATACAACCCAAGTACTAGGCTTGTTGTAAGCTCTCAGAATTTAAATAATGAGTTCCCCAAATCCCCCACCTCTCAAGGACACGTTAATGCAGAGAACAGAGACTCACTCACTCTGACTTTGCTGCAGCCCCTACTGGGTCACACAGGTGTGTTCAGTGGGAACTGCATTTCCCCAGAGAGAGGGAAATGCAGCCTTATGTGCAGCCACTGTCCAGAGGCTTTCTTAAGAAAATTAAAATCCTACGTAAAGATAAAGCAGAAATTGTGGGAGTTGTCTACGAGGGTAGAGAATTGGCAGGGGGTGAGGGTTGTTCATTGTGCTCAGATTCATGATTCAGGGAGGAACTTGATTTGTTTTAGAGCCTTCAGCAATAATAAAAAAAAAAAAAAAAAAAAAAAAAAAAAAAACAAGACAGAAATTTTGCAGACAGACTGTTGAAGGAAAACAAAAGAAAATGCATGGATAAATGTTAGCTTAATAGTTTACATTGAAATTAAATATGAAACCTGTTAATATGTACAAGTAGGCTTGAACTAGAATGGCTGCTGATGGACATCTCTTCTTGCTTGAAGCATTAATCATAAAAGATTGAATTGCTTCATACATTTATTTTTTTCATATGACAATTTTATAGAAAGGAAACAAAAAAAAAAAAAAAACAATATAAGCATAAAAAAGATTAAAGGACATCATTGAATCACTTATTGTTAGTTTCCCAGAATCTTTTAATCTTTTACAATTAGCGTTGCCTGATCACATAATACTGTGATGCTAGAGCTGAGAACATCCTCAGTTTGTTTGAAAAGGTTTTATCATTTTACAAAGCCAACAGGCAAGAGTGTGTGAGATGTAGGTGGCAAGGATAAGGGCAGAGGGGGAGCTGCAAGGGTGGCTTCTGTGGGATGGGAGTGATGCCTCAGGTTTTAGCTTTTATATTTTTCAGATTCTATGCTGCTTTAGTGTGTGGGTCTAGGCTCCATATTAGGGGATGGTGAGCTCTCTTCACAGAGTAGGGAGACAAACAATTCCTTCTCTAGCTGGGGATCAAGAACACCTGATCCAGATCTCAGGCCCAAGAGCGTAAACAACATGAACAAAAGAGAGAAAACAAGGATGTGACTTCATGGGCTAAAGCCGTAATTGGACAATTAGCTCCAAAATGCAAATAGACCAAAACTTGTATGACACCCCATGACCAGTCGTCCATTTTGTGACCATTTTGGGTTCACCTTGTGCGTAGTCCTGGCTGGGCTCTTGTACTGCTCAAGATGGATCTGTTGAGGCCTCCTAATAAATACCTACTTCATTCTTTAACTCCATCTAGCCTCCGTTCTAGGTCAGCCTTCACAAGGAATCAGGAGCTCTCAGAATTTAAACAAGGAGTGCGCTGGGTCTGACACAGCCCCAGTCAGACCCAAGTGGGAGAAAACACCTTTTCTTTCCCATGACATTACACACAGAGTGAGAAAAGTTTGCTAATGGATCTATGACTTTAAAGGAAGTCAAAACAAGGAAGCATCTGTGAAAGGTATTCAGGCTGTGATACAATTTTGAGTGGTCCAAAAATGACAGTGCATATCTTGTTTTCTGGCTGCAGATCTGTACCTGTTCTTGCAACAATTCATTTGGAAAAAGAATGAAAACTTTTGTCCTTAGTTAAAATTATCTTATTTTCTTAATTTGTAATTTTCCACAATATAGATCTGATCAAGTTAAAAGTGGCATTGAAAAAGTAATTCATTCAAATCACTGCTTTCTTGTTACCTAACTGGGTGATCTTTTGCAAAGTTAATGTTTCACTTTAACATCTACATAAAGAAACTTAGAAACTAGTCAAGAACTCCATTCATTCACTATTGCAAAGAGAAAATCAAAGAATCACAAAGTATTGGTACTTATCCAGCTCCCAGTTGCCCAAGTCTACCCGAGGTATTTGTAGCCCAATTTTGCAATCAAATTAAGAACTCCCAGTTCTGGTTCCAGGAATTATTATCTGCAATATTTAGTATTATAAAGTTAAACACAACTCTTCAAAACTCAAGTCTTTTTTCTGATTGTTACTTTTTGTTCAGGATTCACATTTTCATGTTCATTTCTATATGTCTGTATTTAATGGCCTAAATTAAACTTTTATACTCAGTTTAGTAGAAAAAAATGCTCATCCTTTAAACCAGAGCTATTTCAAATTCTGCCAGAACAAAAACTGCAAACAGCCTTAAGAGATCAACTCTATTTTTCCCATTCACACAAGTAGCTTTGACTAAGTTTAGTGGAACTGCTCATAGAATTAAGAATCTCATGACTTGGATATTACAGGTCAACGGGATGAAAGCTTATTTAAATTGTGGGTTAGGAATCTGAAAAATTTTCCAAACTGTATTATAGTTTTCTAAGAGGCATTTTAAACTGTGTTATAATGTTACTTCTTGGAGTTAAAAATGTATTAACAATTCAGAGTGGAAAAGTACATGGCCCTGTTACATTTCATTATGAAGCAATTTTATATATTTTTAATTAAAATCAAATAGTATCTAGTACATCAGGAATAATTAGTCTGCAGTTATAACACATATCTATTATATTGTCTGTAATGAAAAAGTAGTTTGAAATTTTATGAAATATATAATGAGCTCTGCACACTGAAAAGCAAAGCAGCCTCAGCTACAGTGTTCAATCACTTAGTCTTTCCAAAAGGACTTTTTGTTATAATAGATTTATGGGGGTTTTTTTTGGTTTTTTTTTTTGTTTTGTTTTTTTTTTTTTTTTAATAAGCATTTATCTGAGTCATCAATTGTATTAAAGATGGCATGGAATTATGTCTTTTGTATTGGCCTGACAATTTTGTGATGCTCCTTAGTTCATGGGGGTATTATTTATTTAGTCTTCAAAATAGTAGCTTGGAAAAGACCTTCAAGATTATTGAGTCCAACTTCTGACAAAACACCAGTAAACCACAGCACTAAGTGCCACCTCCAGTAGTTTCTTGAACACTTCCAGGGATGGTCGCTCCACCACTTCCCTGGCCAGCCTGTTGCAATGCTTAGCTGCTTTTTCAGTGGAGAAATTCTCCCTGATGTCCAGCCTGAACCTTCCCGGTGTGGGTTGAGTCCATTTCTGTCATCCTGTCAGGTTGCCTAGGAGCAGAGCCCGACCCCCACCTTGCTGTAACCTCTGCTCAGGGAGTTGTGAAGAGGGGATAAAGTTCCCCTGAGCCTCCTTTTCCCCAGGCTGAGCACCCCCAGCTCCCTCAGCTATTCCTCACAGGACCTGTGCTCCAAACTCTCCCCCAGCCTTCTCTGGACTCACTCCAGCCCCTCAATGCCTTTCTTGTAGTGAGAGGCCCAAAACTGGACACAGGATTTGAGGTCTGGCCTAACCGGTGCCGAGCATAGGGGGACAATCCCTGCCCTGGTCCTGCTGCCACACCATTGCTGATCCAGGCCAGGCTCAGAATAAAGTATCTGTCAGATATCTTATTTAGCTCCAGAATAAGATATCCAGAATTTCACTCCTGTGTCTGTACATAGTTGCACTCCTTGTCTTGCTTTGTTTCTCGTCCAAAGCAATTTCTTTGCTATGGAGACCTAGACAAAATGGTGAGTGGGATTTTCTGCATGCCCTGATGTGTGGAGACAGAGTCTTTCCAGGACATGAAAGCTCCCGTGTGCTTTGTGCTCATCACTCTGGTTACAGCCTTGGGTATCTAAGCACTGCAGATAAGTGCTGAAACCTTGAATTTTATTTGATATTCTATGGGAAGCAATTGTAAAGAGCAAAGGATGAGCACATTAATGTGCTCCCAGTGGCGGTGCTGCCGAGGAGACATGTGGTTGCATTCTCTATTAGCTGCAGTTTCCCAAGAGTTCTGCTGCTTGAGAGAAAAAAAAGCAAGACCTCAACACTTTTAGGAAGTGTGTGCATAGGCACATGGCAGCTGTACAATCGCAACATGTTACCAAAGGGAAATTCCTCATAGCTTTCCACTAAGCACAATTATTTTGTGCTGAAACTCCATCCTTTTAATTTAATCTTGTATTATTTAGCTTCAAAAAATATGACTAAACCCACTATGTTTTTGCTTAACATTTCTAATTGTTTCTAGTTAAATCTTTTGAAACATTAGAAGCAGACTGAGATGTCTGATGAAATTAATAGGTAGGATTATGGGTGGTTGTTTTTATTTAAGAGTGATATTCTGTTACCTGTGTGATTATTTTGCAGTATGTGATCCTTGCAGAGCTGCAAATGGAAACACACACACTGCCCAGCAGGATCGCACAAAACAGGGAATGAATCTCAGAGAAGCTCAAGTAAGGCCATTCACAGAGTCATGATATATAAGGCAATTTCTCATTTTCACTAATATTTTCACAAATTCTTGACATGAAAACAAACAAATCCATAGAAGTAACTACTAGGCAGTCCTAACAAAGTCATTCCAGTAGCCAGTTTTTCCTTCTGGGTTTTATTTCTTCTGACAGAAAGCTAAAGAAACCCAAAGCCATTATGTCATAAGAATGCAGTCAATCCTGCTGCCACCATGCAACAGAGAACAGAGAAATTGATTATTTGGGTTATAAAACTTTAGCATACTTAGCATGTATAGGCCAAGTCAATGTGTTTTCCACATTTGAAAGCATAGAGTAAGTTATTTTCAAGTTACAGAAATATAAGCTACTAATATACGTTACTGAACTTTTCAAGATGAAAATTATGGTGGAGAGTAATATGATTAATACGATTAATAACCTGGGGAAAAAAAAAACAACCAAACAAAAAACTGTCCATGTTATCACACTTACAAGAAATTCAGAAATATTTGAATTTAGATTTATAGTGATTATCTTTGAGTTAGGGAAAAACCCAGATTCCTTAACTAATATAATGTTGCTGTTCAGCCTGCCATAGTTCACTGCTCTGACCAGCAGGATATTTGGCATTGAATTTAGCCTACCAAGCTCAGAAATCAAGAGTTTTATCTGTCAGGTGACAAATGGTAATGGAAAGGAAGAATATCAGACACAGCCCTGGAAGAAAATTAGCTGACACAGAGAGCTGAGGCAGCACTGACATGTTGGCAAACATATGCTTGCAGTGAGAGTGAATTTAGGAACTTAACTGCAAAAATTCTTCATTCACTCCTCAAACATGTCGTGGAAATATAATTCAGCTCAATAATGTGGGTTTTTTTCTTTTGCAGTTTTCATCAGTCTATAGAGAACAGATTTTAGAACAGTCTTCTTACCTTTTCTATTTTTTTTTTCTGTTATAGAAAAACAAAATGCAGTCTTGTTTCTACCACTCACTCCTGAAACATTGTGTACGTCCACTAATTCTGACATCATGGTCATGTCTCATTTTTGTGTTTGGAAGGAATGTATTAATGCACTCACATTCCTCCAAGGAGCATTTGTAGTTTAACTTCATTCTCCCTTGACACTTACCTATGCATTTTCTTTAAGCTGCTTTGAGTTTTGCAAGCTTCTCACTGAGATCCCCTAGACATAGGTAGAGATAAGACATACTCTGTTATTAAATAATTCCCCATAATAAAATAACCCATAATAGTGGCATAGAGATTGATTTCTTCTGTCAGTCAGGAGATCATCGGTGATTGAAAAATGAGAAGATGCATGGTAAAAAGAGGAAGAAAAAAAAAATCTAGAACTCTGAGGTAGTAAAAACTCATGCTTTTGCTATTTGATATTCACCAACTTCTCTCACACTTCTGCTCTGTGCTGTCAGTCAATAGCTCCTTTGCTCAAAGCTTTCCTTTTTCCCCCACCCGTGCATATGCAGAAAGTTCTCCATACTGTAGCATTTTCATCAGTTTCAGCACTAATTTTGTAGCAGTAAAAAGTTCATAATATGAAAAGGGGAGAGTCTAGTAATAATGGTTTTTTATATTTTAAATCTTTAATATGGAGAAGGCTCAAACTTCTCCATGACTAAAGTACTTTCTAAAGAAGCTCCATAGTTATGTGATTGCTTTTTTTTTTTTTTTTTTTTTTTTTTTGCTAGAGATTTCAAGGAAACACCTGCAGTTAGAATGACTCCCACATATAACAAAACCATAAGTGAGTAGAAAGGCTTTGGATTTATATGGCTTTGATTGTGTGGTATGGCAGGTAGCTTCAAGGAATGATGGAGTGGATGGAATCCCATCATGGCCTGGATACAATGGAAATGTCATTACTATCAGGAGTTGCCAAAGGAGTTGTTCATTACTATCAGGAGTTGAAAACCGAGTACAGATGTAATTCACTACTTGTAGAAATGCATGCACAGAGACACTGAGGAAAAAATGTTTCCCATCTAATTCAAAAAACTAGCCATACTGTAATTGATCCTTGTGAGTCCCTTCCAGCTCATTGTATTTCTGTGAAAAAGTCTTCTTCTACATAATTAAAGACAAGAGGGAATGTTTTGAGAACTCTACCATAGTGCATGGGTGGAAAGAAAAGGTGCAGAAAAATGAGTAGTAGTTCACTAGCAAAAGAGAATATGATTTCTGTGGAGGACAAAATATTTGTTAAAATGATTGCAACATTCTACATTCTACATTTCCACTCCAGCGTTACATTCTCATATATGGCACCAAGGACAAAGAAATAGAAACATGTTGCCCCTTAACTGTACCTTTGATTCGCTTTCACTGGAATTCGCATTTTCTCTGTGGTAACCAATCAAACATTAGAAGATACATTCTCCTCACTATCATCTTCTGCACAGAGCCTTAGGGAAGCTTTTCTTTTGAAAAATGTAGTGGAGAGACAGACTGCTCTCTTTGGGGCATTTTTGCTATAGAAACTATGGAATTTTTTATGTCTTTCCCAGGAAATTGTCTGCATTATTTTAGAAAACTCATTTAATGGCAATATTTAACAAAATCAAATGTAGACTTTTTAATTCAGCAAAACCAGAACAAAACTGATTAGATTGTTGGAATATGACATATCACGTCCATATCACTTTTTTCTCTGTAAATATTATGCTGAAATATTCAGGGTATAAGATAACAGGGAAGATGGTAAGTGGCTCTGATTGCATTATGATGGGGAAAACCCCACACATTCTGATTATACCTGCCTTCAAACGTTTGTGGTACCTCTTGTTGTTAATTTTTGTTTGTTTACTTATTTAATGCATGTGTGTGTTTTGCTTTGTTTTTCTGTTTTTCATCTCCATCCTTGTAGCCTTTTTATTTGGAGCTAAGGAGAAACCGTGTGACCTCAGCACAAACCAGCATTCCACCTTCTGTGCTCGTACCTGCTGTTTGTGCTGTTGATCAAAACCAAAAGGAGGCCCTTTGTTGACAAATTTCAGGTTTTTGTCATGAGCCCCGTGACATTTCTTGTTTCTACTTCAGAGCACCACAGTGTGGAGAGGGAGCTCTGTGGGCCTGGATCCTATTGATGTGTCAGGGGTGGCTGGTGGCTCTGTGCAGGAAAAGTGTTGCCCTGTGATGTACCTGAGCCTCAGAAATTCCAGCCTCTGACCTATGGAACAGGGTGAGTCCTTTTCCACCACAGCTCCAGGAGCAGCTGCTGAGAGGTAGAACAGAGCCTAAGGCTTTTCAAAACCTGGGAACTCCTCCCTTATTACTGTGCCTGAGGTTCCCAACCTTATTTGTGCCTGCAGGGTGTGAGCTGAAGTCTCTCAAGCAGAGGTGGCTGCCCAGAAGCACAGGTTGTTTGTGCAGTTGCCTGCACCTTAAGTGTTTTTAATTTGGGCTCCTTGCTCATCTCCACCTAACAGAGAAATATCTTTAATAATAGAGCTATATGAATAGAGGAATGAAGAATGACATTGACATTAAAATGAACAACATAACATAAAGGCAGGTTTTTCCATCCCTCTAAGTAATTTGCTTTAGTGAGAATTTATAGCAGTACAGGTTTCTGCTGTGTTACAAAAAAGCATTAGTGTGAGAGTCAGCGCACTGAATATTTGTGAAATAACAACATCTTCAAGGGTGTACCATTATACTCTAAATGCTAGTATTATTTTAAAAGAAACCATATTGCTTTTAACATTTTCATTATGCATAGAAGTCATAATGAGACACGATGCTGTGTTTGCTAATATGTCTCATTTGTATTTTCACAGAGGAGAATTTTAAATATTTATAGCAACAAGTGTTTATGTTCAGGAATTTTTGCTTTGATAATGCAAATCCCTTAAACAAAGTTGAAAGACACTTTAATTCCAAGCCTAGGAGTAAAATGCCATTATCTGCTAACCTTAGATTTTTTGGTACCTCGCATGAATCTACAAAATTATATCTGTTTTCACCCTCCTGTGCTTGTTTCTCTGATCCCCATCTAAAAAATGCCTGACCCAACAGAGCACCTCACCAGCGTGGCAGTGAAATGATTGGTGTCCATTAATGGAAAATGCCTGAAAGCTCAAACTGTCCAAAACTGTGCTGAGTATCAGATTTGTAATCCCACTCTGCTGACAACTTAACTATTGCTTCTGAAAAGGCGCTTGCAGCAGAGGAGAAGGAAAAGGCCTCATGACAACCTGCACAATCCTACATTATTTAGTACCTATCTGTGTAGCACAGCTTCGGCTGGCAGGGAGACTTAGGGCTCAGAAAGGGAGATGTGTGCTGCTGCTTTGAGAAATGCAAATAAGATTAAAGTTGCCAGTGCCTGCTGAGAGGTAAATTTCTTTTCCAGAAGCTGAACACACCTTTTTTCTGAAACAGTATCTTTGTTCGTGGGAGCTGCTAGCCTGAATCCATCTGCCACACTTAAACCCTGGACCTGGTAAATAATCTCTGCACATTGAGTGCAGCTATGACAATATATGTAATGTCTTCTGGTTATACATGTCTAATCTTCCTTTGGCAGTGAACCTGTGGAACTCAGCCTGAGTTCCTTTTCATTTATATACTTGTTTTGCTCAGTGCAGATGAGGGCAAAGAGGGGAGGCACAAGGGGGGATTCAGGGAGTAAACAAACTGCACCAAACAGCTGGGGTGATTAGGCTGTGAATCCAGATAAAAGATGTCATCTGCTCCAGCTCACCTGATGCACAATTGCTGCTCCTGCACTGCTGGCAGGATTCAGGAACCAAGCATTGGACATATCCATACAGTCCAGGTGGGATAAATGTTTGAATTGATAGAGCTATTGCAACTATTGCAGAAATTATCTATTTGATGATGTGATTTCAGATCTAAAATTTACTATGGATACCCATGGCCATATTCTAGTATGCTTTTAAAATGGTTAATGTTGAAAGTTACTCGGTCTTAGCTAGATCAGAAAATTCTTGGCCAGAGGACATAATGTAATTATTCTCTGGTAAATGCAAGTTTTCCTGGTTCAGTTTTTGATTCAGTATGTATCTTTCTTTACACTGAAGAACAGCATGTTTTCAAGCAATCTAAGAGATTACCACTTTCCTAAAATACATCACACTGAAACTGTTAAGTTGGATCTGAAATGTGTAATAAATTGGCTTGGTTTGATGACATTTAAAAGAAGATAGATAGCATTTCTCTTTTCAGGCTTTTTGGGGAAAGAGGATTTGTAATGGTCTCCCAAGATGCTTGTTTGAGGAAAGTTTCTATTTAAAAGTCAGACATGCCAAGAATTTTTACATAATCCAAGCTGACTTACAAATACCTCAATTATCAATCAACACAATGAGAATCTATGTTCTGCCGCCTGTCAAATAGCTGGCCTTTACTGCAGAAGCAGTTATTGAAGGAATGGAGAAAAAATAACTAATGGCTGTTATAAATATTCTCTACTGGTAACACTTTTTTTTTTTTCCTTCATGGGCTCTTGGGAAAACTAATGAACAGTGAAACTTCACAGCTACTTCCATCCTAGTGGTGCCAAAAATCAAGATCAGGGCTTGCCACTTCTCCTGCCAGAGTCTGGCTATGAATCCATGGAAAACCCTTTTTCCCTGTGTCCAACTGTATGTCCAGAGTTGTTGTGCAGCCCTGGATGGCGGCACTCAGGCTGTCCATAGCTGGATATCCTCCCTCACATGGCCAGGTGCAGATCTCTCTCTCTTCTTCTTCTTCAGCTCACAGTGCAGTCCTTGGCTTTCCTGACACCATCCCCTGTTAGCACTGACAGACAAACTGCCTCCTATTTGGTGGAGAGTTTGAGACCCTGGACCTCCTCACAGTGCCACGTTCAAGGTAGCCCAAAAAAGTCACCAGGCCATTAGGTTTTGGGCAACCAGAACACCCCAGTATTAGTCTGGAGTCTGCTTCCCCCTCCTGCTGTCCTCGGGAGGATGGGATTTCAGCTGCTCCTCCTGCAGCCTGCCTTGGTGTGGAGCTGTGGCTTCCCTTGTGCTTCAGCTTGGGGTGAATCCTCTGCTGAGCCTTTCAAAGATGCAGAGCAGAGTGTTCCAGAGAAAGCTCACTTTGTACCTAAGGGCATGAAAATGTTGCCATTAACGCCTGTCTGTGTTCCAAATATTTATAAAAGAGTAGATTTAAGACGTGCTAACAGCTTCTGAGAAT